CAGCCAATGAAAACAGGTCTTTTCAAGCTCCTCTACTATATACTGTTGTCTTTTTACTTCATCCGGTTTAGATTTACTACTTCCGGAATCGATAACGAGATGAGCTGGTATCTTTATTGCATTGTTTAAGCCCATGTTTTACATATCAAATACTAATCCCATAGCGATACTAAATTTAACTAAACCTACAGGCGTACCCAACCCAAATCTGTCAAATACTAGCATTTTCTAAAAAGAAATTCGCTATTCTAACTATCAGGTCACACTGTAACGCTTACCTTATATACTTATTCAAACAAAATTACACACACATAAAAAAATCACCTGCATGTACGTTCCCGCATTCAAACATATATGTAACTACGCACTCACAAATATATTGACACACGTACATTAATTCTATCACCCATTTACTTTATATATATGTATATATGATTGTTTTTGTTTATATATAAACATCGCAAATTTGGTGTTGGTTCAATCTTAATTTAAATTCAATTAAGATGGAACCAACACCTAAGTTCCTCCCATAATACTAAATACCGCAAGCATACACCGTTGTCTAAATATTTAGAGTTGTTGCATTTTTTCTTAAGTCATATAGAAAACAAGTTAAACGTGGTATTTTAAAACTTTCAGAAAATATAAATAAAATCAAATATGAAATAAAATAAATATCCGAAAATACAATTCTTAAAAGAGTGCTCAATACAGAGTAGAGCAAATATAATTTAATCGAAAATTATAACATAAATTTGTTATAAAAATCACATAGAAAAACAGCCATTTTGTTTAAACTCTTACTTGATAAGTCAACAGAACCGTTGAAACAAAATGGCTATATTTGTAGTGATTTTTTAACATATTTATATCATAATTTTCTAATAAATTATATATATATATATATATATATATATATATATTTGAATATAGAAAGAACTCGGGTTTTCTTTCCCTAAGATATATACTTAACTCCTGTCGTTTTGCTTTCATTAAATACGGTAAAATTCGATCGAAATTTTACGAGGAAACTTGGAGTCACTTAAGAAATTCTCACCATTTTATTATGCTTGTACAGCAAAATATGTCATTATGCCCAGCGAAAAATATTTAAACACACACACACACACACACACACACACACACACACATATATATATATATATATATATATATATATATATATATATATATATATATATTTGTTTCAGTTGCTGGATTTTGCTTTAATTCCGCGGTATTTCTTCTGCCGAATATTTCGCTTTTCCTTTTGCCAAATAAAAATGTTTCTAAATTTAATAGTTTTAATATTATGCCACCTCTTGAAAAATTACGTACATCATATAATGGTGCATTCTTTGCACGAAATCGTCAGCATTTTTCGTTTCTTCTTTTAGAGGAGCGTGCATGCAACCTAGCGCTGGCTTTGGTTTGATCTTCCATCTTTATTTGTAAGAAAAGCTTCAGGAAAAGACGTAAATCAATCAATATTGCAGCCACATCCGGGGTGGCATTCTTGCTATATATAGAGAGATCCTTGATAAAATCCCAAACAAGAATTTGCAATCTTATTGATCTGGACCTGGCATGCCGTCTTCAGGCACTTACCCACCACCTTAATGTAGTGTCCCTTTGTGGTTATCATTCAGATGAACTTTTACCTGTGGTACCTAGACTTCATGAATTTAAGCGGAATACTCATCATTTTACAGTTGAAATGTTTAGACGTAACCGGAAGTTCTATGCTAACAGTTTCTACTATCTCACTTCCGGCTTTTTGATTCCCAATTAACTTTGGTTTTCAAAAATGTAAATTTTATGTCAATCGTTATTTTCTGTTTTCTTAATTCTTATTAGTTTTTATTATTCGTTCTATTTAATAGTATTTTTCTTTCTTTTTTTTCACATACTCTCTAGCATTCAGTAAACCCTTCCGTCTTAGTGGCTTTATTGCTTTAATTAAGGTGAAATGATTTTTAAAAATGTTAAACTCTACTCGTAGAGTTACTAATTAGTAATGTAGATTTTATCCTGGAGGAATGGTGGTTGTATCATTTGAAATGGCGAATTCTTCAATTAATAATATCTGGTGATCTCCAATTGATGGTCTCCATTGTTTCCAAGTAAAAGCCAATTTTCAAGTCACCCATAAATGTAGACTAAACTTTCTTTAAAATTAAAGATGTTTTTTCTTCACAGATGTCTTATTCCAACATGTTTAGCACTATAAAAAACAAAGTTGTTTATACTTCGGCGAAATGATATACACGGAATATCAAGCTTGCTTATAGTACTTCCTTATAGACGCGTTACCATCTTAAACGACAAGCATGCAGTTCTGGAAAATCCATCTGTTGGAAAACAACGAGTTCCTAATATTTCGCATGTATATTTTACAGATGATTATTGATATAAAATAATATATAATATACTGTGCGGGTATTAGTTTTCCAGCTTTGATAAAGTATAAAACCATTTACTTGGTCTTGTAGTGGAAGAC